ACTTTTTAGTTGACCGAAGCTTGAACTTTAACACACTTACAAATTTGCTCACTTTCAAAGCAGACGATCAAGAAATTGAATCATTACTCTGTAATGTACTCTAACTTGATTTCACTTTGAATTGAGGAATAAAAATCATTACTACTGTTTAAGTAAATAAAAATGAGTAGTTCACTTCAACATGTAAACATTGTTTGAACTAACACAATTTGATTATCAAAACATTTGTAAAATAGTAATGATCATAGAGAATTGTCTTTTTCACTTGATTAATTCAAGAAAGAAAGTCTCAGGATGGATCAAACTGTATTTCTGGATTCAAATCAATGAAATGACAGTTTCTGTCCATCTGGTCAGTTTTGACATCAGGCTTAGTCCACTACAAATGTCAGTTCTACAGACACTGAGCTAAAATTTGTTGCAGCAGTAGCTGATCATAATCCACAACACAAACTTAGACCACAAAACTTTGAACAAATCTTTTCATAAAACTTTAGTATGACTTTTTGAATTAAACCCTTTAGCCTGTTACCAAAATACATGTATTTCATAAAACACAGAATTATTTTCAACTCTCAACCTGACTGCTGTACATATATAACATTTGGAGTCAAGGCAATTTAAGATGGCTGCCACAGTAATCAACCTTATCATGAACAAAATCATTTATATCAGTGAATTTTGAGCTAAATTTAGTTGTGGTGGAAGTTGACAGTCATTCACATAAAGTGCTAACAGGTTACATGTTCAATATAACATGGCATTGTTCATTAATGTATTGTTTGTTTGTTTTTTCCTGTCTGTTTTTTTTTTTTTTTGTTTGTTTTCATGTTTTGGACAGAAAAGCTACAACTATTTCAACATTTTTCAGTCAGGTCATCTGGACAGTTTCTTTCTTTTTTTTTGGTGCTGAAACATTTCGCCTTCGATCCAGAAGGCTTCATCAGTCAAGGAAACACACAACAAAACGGATTCTTCCTCCAACAGCTTACTCCAAACTGGAACAAACCAGTTCTGCTTGTGATAAGATGGTCTCTTTGGTATGCCCCCTCCTCCATTGCCGGCCCTCTTCCTTGTTGACAGTCTTGTCAAACTGGTTGAAAACAACAAAGTCCATGCTGAATATTCCAGGTATACAATCCAACATTTTTCAGTCAGGTCATCTGGACAGTTTCTTTAAAAAAAAAAAAAAAACTGTCCAGATGACCTGACTGAAAAATGTTGGATTGTATACCTGGAATATTGAGCATGGACTTTGTTGCTACAACTATTACATTTCTCAACATTAGATGATGTAAGTCTAAAACTCCAGCATGCAAGATGACGGGCGATATGCACTTCTTCGAAAGACTTTTAGACTTTTAACTTATTCTAAAATAAATACTAGTATCCTAAACATCCAATCTAAGGTGTAAATATATGTATTTATCAGTTGAGTTTATGAATGTTTGATGACACAATACTATGTAAATGTTATGTCCCAGTCAAAGTAAATGAGCAAATTTCATTATCAACATTTACCGACAATTTAAAAAAGGACATGTTAAAGCACAAAATTAAAAAAAATAAAAACTACAATTTGATCATTACATGGTTTACATGGTTTTAAAACGATCTTATAAATATATAGGTAAATAACAATGAAAACAAAACAGTTCAAAACATACACAAACTAGTACAGCATAGACAAAACAAAGCATATTGGAACAAAAGAAATCAGCAGTTGATGATTAACTGTGACCTGATGTTGCAAGGAGCTTTAGATTTATAATTATTTTATTTGCCCGACTCTGACTCTTTTTTATTGCGTGCAATTTCCAACAGCACCGGTAGGAGGTGCAAATGATTAAGCATTAATGTGGGAGAGAGGCTCAGGATAACGTTTGGACGAAACTGCAGGATTCAGCAGGAGCGGGTGAGGGAACAGTTAAAGAAGCAGTAACCCCTGATGGACACAGGATAAGAATAGCATGTGCAATGATGACAAAACTGTTAGACTAAAGCAAAAATATTTTCACATTTAAACAAAAAGATGAGTCAGATTGTTCTAATCCCTTCTTCCACGATTTCTGTTTGTCTGTTTCTCCAAATCTGCCTTAGAGTGAGTTTATTTGTGCCACAGTTTAATAAAGCATCTTAAAACAGAAGAGGTTGATTGTCTGTTCATCTCACCTGATATTTGCTCCAAGTTGCAACTTTATTGCTCGAGCGCCGGTTCCCCCCAGCCTGAAACGTTTCTCTGACAGGCGCTAACACAGGAGTAGTTTCTTATAATTAGATGAAGTGAGAAAACATCGCAGCAGTTCCGCGTGCTGCTGCTGCAGTGACACAAACCAGAGAGCCTCAGTGGCCTTCTCCTGCAGATCCCAACATGTTCGCGCGCAGAGCTGCGGGGCAGCAGAAAGTTTGACCTCAGTTTGACTTCTCCGGCTGCCATTTGTTCCTCAAGGCAGGCAATCCCAAAGAGCTCTGGCAGTTGCGCAAACATCTGACCTGCTGAGATTTATTTATTTGTGTGGAAGTAGAAACAAAATGCGACCAGAGGAATTAGTTTTGTTTTTGTCCCACTATGATCTGAGCTAAAACCAGATTTAAAAGAGCGAAATGTAACCACGTAGGTTTATTTCTTGCTTTTAGAAGGACTTTCTTTTTGCCTCCAAACAGCAGAGGTCAGGACGCAGAGGCCATCTAATGACGATGCCGTGCGCCAGTTTACGCGCAGCGGTTTGAAAGTAACACGCACTGATTTTATTGAAACGACTCAGTGCATTACCGTCATCACAAAGCAGATTAAGCAGAAGTGACGGTACCCCCCCCCCCCCCACACACACACACACACACACACACACACACACACACACACTTCCCCCTGTGCTCTCCTCCAGGAAACCAAAACGCACTGACCCTCACGGAAAGAGCGGCTCCAGGAGAGACAGCGCAACTCCAGTTTGCGTTTCTATGGATGCTAATTGAAGGAGCTGTAATTGCTTTATAATGCCACGGTGGTTATTTTGCTGTGAACTCCTTTAATGACGGCTCAGGCTCACTTCTAATCAGCCACAGCCTCTCACTGAAGTTTCACTAAACTCAAACTCAGACCATAAAGAATTCCAAACTGAAGCCTAAACCTAAACAAATCAGTCACTTTAAATATTTGTTTTCATTAAAAAATAAAGGGAGAGTTCATACTTACCAGTATACAACTGAAACACACACACACACAATCAGACCGTTTTGTTACTTGATCGCGGGGTTTCCGTGCGTAAAAGTCCGAGCCTCGTGCGCCCCAGCCTCTTGAGGCTGCGGGCAGCTTCACCTCTCGTTTCACGCCTCTGAAAGAAGTCCCATCCGATCCAAGCAATCGGGATTTGGTACCTCAGGAATCCCTCTCCGACGTCGTGAAGCTGCATTATGACACCGACTGTGGCACCTGGGGGGGGGGGGGGGGGGGTCGATGATCGGACGCACAGATGGAAGAGGAGAAAAAAATATAAACTTCAAGCAGGCAGTGACGGAGTGGCGACACCGTCTGAGGGGAGAGGTTAAAATTATTTGACTGTAAAGTTAACCTCAGAAGATCAATCTGTGGAAAATTAACTTAAAAATGAATTTTAAAAGTCCTGTTTGGAATTTCAGGAAACTTTTAATACATAAAATCTAAATATCCCACTAATATTTTATGTAGATAGACGTAAATTATGCTAAAATTTTAACTGCTAAATCAATAAAGGTGTAATCATCTGCACAATTTAGCAAACAACGTGATAAATGTCAACCATTTCATCAGTGTATAACAAAATTAATAACAGGAATGCTAAATGGATTTTCTTTTAAATTCTCAATAGGATGCAAGTTTTCTGTAATTATTTAAACTTAATATTTACCCCAAACTTTCACAGTCCGATCAAATAAAAAACAGACATGTAAGGAGACAAAAGTTAAATGATAAATAACACGAGATTACTTTGATTTTGTTTTATGAAATTGAAAAGCGAAAACAAAAATTTAATTATTAAACGAAATTGTTTATGTGTGGGAGAAACACACAGAGGGATGTTTCTGCTCAGATATTGTGTGTTTTAGTGGAAGTTGCAGGCTGTAGAAGCCGACACATGCACAAAGTGCGTGTTTTCTCCCCGCGGACAATGTTTGCGTTTTGCGCCTGCTCGCCTCTGTGGCCTAAAAAGCCGATCAATCAACTCTGGATCGATCACGAAGGGAGCCAATAGGGGGCTCCCATCCTTGTGCCTTCATGTCATTGGACAGACCCGGCAGACTGGAGCGACCCATTCAGCGCAGCAGTGGGGGGGTCGAGACGCACAGACATCAGACAGTGAGGTTTGAACACTAAAAAGGTGCGTAAAAAGACATGATTTAGAATTGAATGTCCAGAAAACCAATTCCAAACTCTCAACAAGTGCTTATTTTTTCAGGGAACATTTTGATTTCTAACTAAATGTGATCTTATGGAAGTTTTGTTTGATTAAAAAAATAATGAATTAGAAATATCTATATTTTTTATTTTTACAAAGGATTAAAGTTTTACAAAGATTTAAGAGGCTCACAGTCTGCACTGGTTTTGGTCCAATCCCACCAGAACTGGCAAAAAAAAAAAAAAAAATATACAAAAACTTTTACAAATAAACTATTGTTTTATTTATACCAAATAAACTATTCATTTATAAAGTCACATTCTCATCGTTACAAGTCACATCAAGGCTCTTGATTAGATATCTGACAATAACTTACATGAAGTTCAGTTAATCACTTGAACTGTTCACGATTAGAGAATAATGACATGGTGGGCATGTGCGCCTCCAGATGAACATGCTCGTGTCTGAAAGTGAAGACTAACGTCGGTTTGTGGGATCACACGTGAGTCTGGAGCCACGGATGGGTGTTTGACCCGGTGCAGTTCCGCGCGCCTGGCTCGGCTCGCACGGGTCCTCCCACCCCTCCATCACCGCGCGACTTGCTGCAGCCCGGTGCGTTGTGTAAGACGCGACCTGTTATGGCCACCACGACTTCCGGGTTTCAGCAGTCTGGTCCAGATCGTCCGCTTCTCCTCAGCCTCAACACACACATTCATTGTACATGAAAACGGGGCAGGCGGATCGCTCATATACATATGCACACACATACACACACATACATACACACACACACACATCCGCGCACTCCACGCACAGCATCGATCGTGGCTCCTTTAAGAAAAGCCTAAGCCAGAATTATCACCCCACCTCCTCTTGATTTTCCTCTGGACGCTTTTTGCATAAGAAAATCAAGCCGGGAGCGGAGAGTGATCAAAGAAAACCAGAGGAGAGCTGCTTCATTTTTTAACTCTGATTGTGACCATTAACATTTAGGTGGTGCCGATCCCGTGGAGGCGCGCGTCGGACCATCCTTCATCCGCTACTTTTGACAAGCCTCGCGCTCTGACTGACAGGCGGAGTGGCACAAAAAAGAAAGAGAAAGGCCATGAGAGTTTCCAGTTTTGTTTGAAGAGGGGACAACTGATTTCCATTCTGGTTTTGGAAAAGGAGCCGGGTGCGTGCCGCCGACAGGAGAGCGGAGGACGGAGTCGCCGCGCCTGGGCTGAACTTGCACTGAGAGCGGGAGCTGCTGGCTCCACGGCTCCGTGGACAACAACCCAAAACAGAAAGCAGGATTTTGGCTGAAGCCTCTTCTCGTTTTTTGTCTGGATTTTCTTTCTGTCTTTACGCTGGCCCCAGAGGGGATTTACTGAAAGCACGACCCCGGGAGTGAGGAGGGTTATGGCTCAACGGGTACGTAGGGGCAATCCTCCCGAAAAAAAAAGTTTCTCTGAAGTCCACGGCGCTTGAATGCGTTGCTTTGCTCTGTAACGTGGCTCAGGGACACACACACTCACACACGCTCACACACACGGTGGAGAAAAGTTTCGCCCTGGCGACTGGACACAGCTTTATGTTTTTTGGCGTCGTTATGGCACGGTGTTTACGCACCGACGCACTCGTTGGCTTCCCCCAAAAACCCGTCCCGCTGTGGGACACTGGACACGATCACATCTCACATCGGCACTGGTTTTTAGATTAGTTATGACAGACCGGTAACTGGGAGCGAAACGAGTGGGGTGGGTTTTGGGGGGGGGGGGGGGGTGTCACAGAGACAAAAACCAAAAATCCCCGCTTTTCTTTTTTTTGGACGCGTTTTGTCCAAATAGATTTTATGTATTTGTTTATTTTTGCTTTTGCAGAAAAAAACTAAATTTGAATTGTTTGTTCTGCGAAATTTTACAGGAGCAGGATTTTAACAAACACTAATTCATTTAGAGCCTCAGAGGTGCTTCTCACGCGCACACTGCTGGGTGTAAAATCGGGCACGTTGCACGGGAGCTGCAGAGTTTTGGCTCTGGAGCTGCAGCACGCGGGGGTTTGCACCTCTTTGCCTGTAGGATCGACACGCGCAGCTTTAAGTGATAATGCATTTTACTCTCCCTCTTTTTCCACCCGACACTTGTTTGTCACCTCTTGAGAGCACTATCAATAATTCATGTATTTTTTCATTCGACTAAAGAGGCGCACGCGCAGAAATTTACGCCTCTAACTTGAAACTACTTACTTTTATTTTTTTATGAGATATTCTAAATCACATTTTTGTGTTTCTATTACATATAAATAATTTGGAATCTTTTAAAACAATCAAATAAAGACTACTCTTCATTATTAAGCTAAAAAATGAGACCTGAACAGGTTTTCCATAAAACACACTCCTCGCGTGCAGAAGACTTGATTAAAAACGTGCTGCACAATTATGAGCCTTAAAAATGACAAAGCAGCTCGATCCACAAGTTTAAGGTGTGAGGATTGAAAACTCACACAACATTAAGGCCACCGAGCTTCGTTGCTGCAGGTTTTGTTCTTTTAATTTATTTTATCTTTTTTAATTGTTCACGTGTGTGTGTTCCTTCTTCCGGGCTTTAAGAGCTGCTGGGAATAAACTGAGACCTAAAACTAGTTTGCAGGACAGCCTGGTAGTTTGTGTCAACAGTGTCCAAACTTTTCTCTGGAAGGAGAATAAATTTAATCCACTAAAGGGCATTTGTTTAATCTCGTTTCTTATTTAGTTTTACTTTAGAGCACGTTAAAAAGTATGTGCGTAAATGGATTCATGAGAAAAAAATAAGGACAACTTTGTTTATGATCAGTTCATAAAACTCTTAGCAGAACTTTACTTTTAATAACATTAAGATTTAGGAGCAACTTTTATTATCAGTTGAATTCATTAAAGACTTTCTGTGTCCCCAGTACGAAGACTTGCCCCACTACGGGATGGACGGTGTGGGCATCCCGACCACCATGTACGGAGACCCGCACGGCGCGCGCTCCATGCAGGCCGTGCACCTGAACCACGGTCCGCAGCTGCACTCCCACCAGTACCCGCACACCGCACACACCAACTCCATGCCCCCCAGCATGGGCTCCTCCGTTAACGACGCTCTCAAGAGAGATAAAGACGCTATTTACGGGTAGGTGGAGAGGGGAAAACAAGCCTCCGGTCCGGGGGGTGCGGGTGGGGGTCGTTCCCGGGTGGGGTTGTTTGAAATGGGTCAGGAAGAACAAAGCCCAAAATGTTGCAACAGAAACAAACTGCAGCAGGTTCTCTTGCGCGTTTAATTTACCAAAGTTTGGAGTTTTGTTCCTGACAACTCCCCCAGGTTTAGTAATAATAATAATAAAGTTTATGCTTTTGTGTCTACCTCAAATATGTCCTGCTGTTTTATGTTTCCTCTAGAAAAAAAAAATCAATCGATTATAAGGAAAATGTCCACTTTAATCACAAAATTGCTAATAAAAAAGGAATTCACCAAGTTTGTTTTTAAATGTATTTATGTAAGAAAAATAACAGTATCTTAATAATTCTGCCAGACGTCAGTCTAATTACAACAAACACACGATTAAAGAAATTTCTCCCAAAAATGTGCACTATTTATTAATTTCTAGGAGTAAATTAAAAAAAAAAGAGACTGGTTATGTTTTCAATATAATGGCACTCTTTAAAATGCTGCCTCAGCTTATTACAACACTTGTATTTACAATAAATGGATGAGCAGTAAATAATCAAGAAACGTGGGCTAATTTAGCCACACACACACATACCTACACACACACCAACACACACACCTGTAAACTGTAAGCCCATCCTTGTGCAAGAAAATAGTTTGACAGTCTCTCAGGCTTTATGCTGTTAGGCGCGACTAGATTTAATCAGGGGGTCCGTGCGCTTTTTGCAGCTTGTGTTAAATTTAAAAGAAGTCAGTCAGTCAGTCAGTCAGTCTCTGTGGGCGAGTTGTTGAAGGCGAGCAAGGCGCTGGCTAAATCTAGCCGGGAATAGGGTTGACCCCGCTGCTGTTCTCTCTGGTGACATTTGCTATTGTTTGTGTGTGTATGTGTGTGTGTGTGTGTCCACACAGGCACCCCCTGTTCCCTTTGCTTGCACTGATTTTTGAGAAATGTGAATTAGCGACGTGCACCCCCAGAGAGCCCGGAGTGGCGGGAGGAGACGTCTGTTCATCGGAATCTTTCAATGAAGACATAGCAGTGTTTGCAAAACAGGTCAGCAAAGTTTGCTCGTACATGCACGTGCAAAAGTTGCACCGCTTACCTCTGTGTTTGGAAAAGAGCAAGCTAAAGCCATGCGTAAAATGTTTCTGTTGTGCGCAAAAAAAAAAGTAAAACTATTGCATCATTTTTTGCAAAAGTGTGTGAAATCATTTTGAAGTCAAAACGTTTATGTTAATATGTGGTTTTTATTTAATTTATTTTTAGATTCGAGCTGAAAAACCTTTATTTTCATCAAATCCAGAGTTGGATAATCTGGTAAGAGATGTTTTATTATTTTATAGTTTATCTGAATTAACCATCTGTTTGCATCTTCACTGAACTTAACCACGAGCAGCTGAAAAGTAAAAAAAAAAAAAAAAACCTCATTTGAGTTGTTTGATATGATGACACCCCCCACCCCACCCCTAAAGTGTCTGCCATCACACATCTTTGGACTGGACTTTTTTCTCTGATCTTTTCACTTGATGTGATGTTGGAGCAACCTCCTTAATAGATCTCCGACTCTGAGGCTTATTAAACACACTGCAATAAGCTGAATAAAACCCACTCTGGACATTTTCCTCCTCTTGTACTGAGGGAGGGGAGAACAAGTGTGTTCTGTTTAATATCAAGAGATGTGAACACTTTCATCTTTTATTGTTATTCTAATTTTTCAGATGATTCAAGCCATTCAAGTTTTACGATTTCATCTTCTGGAGCTGGAGAAGGTAATATTCTTTGCAGCAGACACTGGATGTATGCAGGCTGGACATTTACATAAATGTATTTTTGCTGGTCGGTTATAATTAGCGTCCAAATCAATCATGGGGGCCAATTCTCTTCTGCATTTAATCACGACGCAAGCTGTTACAACTGGAACGGATATCTCTGTGACACCCCCATCCCCTGCTCCCCATAAAAAAAACTCTTCCATGTTCATATCTAGGCAAAGTTTGCATTTTATTTATTTATTTATTTATTTATGGGGTGCATGCGACCATCTGTGGGCAGACCGAGCAGCGGGTGAAACGCTCTGACGCAGAGAGAAAATCAAGCTTTTCCCTCTCACTGTAGAAGAGCACTGTACTGACCAAAAGAAGCTGAACTTGTCGCGTGCACGCTCCCTGCAGGCCACCTCACGTTGGCAGTGATAATGCAATAAGTGGACAGAATTAAACAGTTTACCTTAAATGTCAGTCAGGCGGGTCGTCCTTGGCTAATGGCCCCTACCCGGGGCACCGCTGATGAATTTAGCACGGGTGTTGAGCGTGTTGTAGCCTCTGAGCCTCTGTCACTGTCAATTTTACACGATATCTTTATTTTGAGGGGAAAGAAATTCAAGTGAGCCGCTGCTCCCAAAGCACGCGCGCGCACTCAAGTTATTTCATTTGAATACAATTCTGTGAGAAAAAAAATGAGTTTGGCACAAAAAAAAATAAAGTTTTGTAGCAACTTGAATTGTTTTCATGTCCAAGTTGTGAAAACGGCCTGAAAACTGTCATTTTGGAGCTGGGTGGTGTCATGTGGGATTTAGGGTGACGCGTCTCCCCCCCCCCCCCCCCCTCTTCTCTGCAGGTACACGAGCTGTGTGATAACTTCTGTCACCGGTACATCAGCTGCTTGAAAGGCAAGATGCCCATCGACTTGGTCATAGACGACCGAGAGGGGGGGTCCAAGTCAGACAGCGAGGAAATCACAAGATCGGTGGCTCTAGATCAGGTACATCTCTCTATCTGTGTGCGTGTATGTGCGTGCACGTGTGTTCCCTCTGCTGGCTATTCATCTATTCTAGGCCATCGCTCCACTCTGCTGTTATTTGCATGTGATTAAAGCCGTTTCCATCGGAATGAAAGAAAAAAAAAAATCAGAATAATGTTTCTATTATTGCTCCATTAAGACCTGAACCCGGAACCGACCCGGGAAGATTACCTCGAAAAAGCATCGCCATAAACTTGACCTGTTTCATGTCCATTTTAATTTAGAAGCCTTCTTCACCCCCCACCCCCTCTCTCTTTTTCTCTCTTTTTGAACCTCTACACGGAGCTCCGTGTGTGTGTGTGTGCGGCGCGCGGGGGGGGGGGGGGGGGGGGGGGTCTCCATGGGCTGCACAATGGGCTTCAGAAGAAGATGCCTCGGTTTCTCCACCGTTGAGTTCACGGTTCATTACGCGTCTTGTCAGTATTTTTCCTTAGACATGAGTGCACATTGCTTATCGCCCCCCCCCCTCCCCCGATATATTTTCCTCGCGCAGATTCAGTCCCGAACAGGACGGCTGGTTCTCCAGAAGCAGCGCGCATTAAAGGTAGATTAGGAAGTGTTTCCCTTTGTGCAGATACCACAGATAACCACAGCCTTCATTATGTGCTCCACTGACTGCTGGCACTCCGGGGACGTCGCATGCGCACCCACATGACCCTGTAATAGTCCGCGCGCGCTCCCGTTAAATAATCATAAGAGTAACCTATTATTAGAATTATGCAAATCCATATTTTGGACATTAGCATCAGCCATATAAACAGGATACAGATAAGTTCACATATCCAAGAGTTTTAAAGGGCTTAGGAGTTTATAGCCCGTGCTTTGCAAGGTGTGTGTGTGTGGGGGGGGGGGGGGGGGGGGGTTGGTGGTGTCCAAATTAAAGGGATTAGCTGGATAGGCCGACATAAAAAGTAATGGAGCGATTAGGTTAAATAATTTAAATCCAGGGCCTTCCATATGGTTGAGTGGTTGGTCTGAGAGAGGCAGCATGGCTTTTATGTGCTGGGCAGCTGAATGGCAGGGCTGGGAGAGGAGCTGGGCCCGACTGAGAAGATGCACCCCGCACCCACTCTCCCAGTCACACACGCACACGTACACCACTACCCAGTCGTCCCCAGCCCTTCTGTCTGATTATGGAAATGAGAAAGATCACGCGGAAGATAATACTTCATTTAATCCAGGAACATAATTAAATAACAGAGACGCCACTCGTGCATTTAAGTGTCTCTTTGAACTGTGTTGTACTCGCTCAGGGATTTAGTTTTCAAAAAGTTTTTTTTTTTTTCAGTATTTTTTATATATAGATGGGTCAAAATGAAGCCTTTATGTTATATGGAAATAATCAGTTAAAACCCTTGGGTTTTTAGGTAAGGAGAAAATGATGTTGTGCTTGGGGCACTCATGCACATCTTTAATTGACTGTAAGATGAAGACATGGCCTATTTTAATATAATGATGGTTCCTGTGTAGCCAATCCAGGACTAATCCCCACATGTTTACGCTGACAGAATAATATAAATGACCTGCAGGCGGAGGTTGGATCAAGATATATAGGAAAACTTTTTGACAGATGTGTAACGTTGAGGGATGGGCTGATGTTTTAGAAGCATAAGTGCGTGTGTGTGTGTAAATGGGCATATCCAAACAGGCAGAGGGTGCACGCCTCTTAATGCTGAATACTTGTATTGTCTGTCTAACACCAACACACTTCATGACTAACTTGCAGCATATTTTCAAATTTTGTGGGTGATTTTTTTGGGTGACATCTTATCTGCCGTTGTTACGCAGTGACACCCCTTAACAAATTTGCATTGTGTGTGCATTATCTCTTTCCATATGTATTTTTAATAAATGCCCTCGGGCATAAAGTTGAAGTGGACTGGAAAGAAACGCTCCGAATTTGCACGAAAGAACAATGTTAACAAGATGGAGAAAGTAGGCTCATTTATTCATAAACCAATTTATTCCAGTGAGGCGACTGTAGCAGAAAAAGGGAAAAAAAAATGTCAGGGGAAAAAAAAGAAAATACTTTGAATTTATTAAACTCAACAATCCAGCTTTTGTTGCTGCATTATTCACCCTTGCATCATAAAAGTAGTTGTTTTGTATATTTTTATGTTTTTACTTTAGTGTTTTTAGTTTGCATGCGAGTAAGGAGGGACACTGAGCGCCACTTTCTAAAGAAAGCAGAGCTAAGAGGTGAAAATGTCAGAGGCTCTGCACCGGCTTGTGAATGCAGCTTAGCTAGTTTGGGCTTACCCTCCGATGCTTATGTGTGTTTGTCTTTCTCTGTGCAAGTTTATGCATATATGTGTGTGTGTGTTTGTGTGCACGCTGCTGTTGTGTGCAAGTGTGTGTTCAGACTGGCCTGATAAATGCAGCACCCCCCTCAGGTGCTATGTGAGTGGAGTGACTGGTTAGCACCAGTTGGACTTCCTTAACTCCTTCCCTGCCGGCTTGTACAAAGTTACCATGCACACCGAAAACCTGCACTTAGGCTACAAGTTTTGTGCTGCCCCATTAGATGGACTTTGAGCCTGCAGTTCACTTGCAGGAGGATTTATTTTGAGGTGAACGCTGAGTTTTGTGGTGTGCATTTCAGCTCATCTTGTAGTTGTGGATATATGGCATGCGTAATCTGCTGTTTGTGTCTCAGTTTGATCGGGCTCACATGTTCATTACAGTCTGAGAGTTTGTCACCTCTGCGGCACGTCATTTTTGCACGGTTGCCTTTATTTGCACAAAGCACAGGGAGGGGTATGGCAATTTGTTAATGAACGCACAGGGCCAGTGCTCTTTGCTGTTGAAGCTGAACATTGCTAATAGTGCTGAGGACTCTCCAAGTCTCAAGAGTTCCTCTTTGATTGAGCCATGCAGGCTGAAGTGGGGCTGGAAATAATTGAAACTTCCTTAAAAAAATATTCACTGTCCGACATTATGCAGACACAGAAGTCCTAAATGATTATGAATGCTCATCAACTGTGATGCGAGTTAATTCAGTGGAAGGGTGTTTTTATATTGAGGATGCTTTTCGGCATGCTGAAATCATGTAAAAAGAATGTGAGCCATCTGACTATCTGAAATCACATCTATACGTCTGAGGTTTTCCGTACCTGCTGCACAATCTTTCCTAAACATACCCTGCTTGTGTGCGTTGTGGTCACTGTGTAAGAATTTACTCCTGATAGCACTATCGTGGTATCTTTTCCCAACAAATGGCACTGTTCTGCTTCACAAATGCGGGTTTCCAGGTCAGTACTACCCAGCAGTGTTGGTTTAGGTAACTCTGGCTGTCAAAGAGTGACCTCCTTCCCCCCTCCCTTAAGCTCCTAACCCAATGGAAACCATGACTGCTGGGTTCAGGCACTATTTTCCTAATCAGTATGTTGCTATCGCTAATCTATCCGCCTCTCGTTGAGGTATGGATCGAGTTTCAGCCGACTCGCTCTCATACAGTGGCGCGCCGCTGTTCTTAATACAAACTTTGGAATCATTGTAGTGATTGTTGGTAATAGCAGCTTTTGTATTTGAATAGAGGACAGGGCTGACCCCCACAGTTACCCCCTCCCCCCTCTTCTCTTCTCCTCCTCTGTCTCCTCCCCTAAACTCCTTTCTTTTTTCTTTTGGGATGTGAATGCCGAGCGGCTGTTGAGGATTCAACAAGTGACACAAAGAAGAGACCACGTGACTCGTGTGTTTCTTAGCCTCTTCATTATTGTGGTGGAATAACAAGTAGGGGTGATTATGATTATGCAACTCGATGCTGGAGTGACATCAAAGATTAGGAATGTCCTCTTAAATGCTGCCATTCAATTTGTGTTTCTGTATTTTTTTGTGGTTAATTGGTTTATTTTAAAAATCTTGTAGTGTTGCTGGAAAGTCGTGCTTAGTTGAACCAAAAGATCCCAACGACAAATAAAGTTCTTGGTTTGTGACTCTTGTTGCTTATGATGAGCGGCCATGTTTGTCCCTGAGGCCTGGATGCTGTGGTTTCTTTGGCTAAGTAAACAATAACCTGGCTTAACACATGTGTACTTAGCTAATGGAAAGTTCCTCTCCCCCTTAACCCCCTGCAAGTCTCTGACAATGGCCTCCGTCACAAACAGCTTGTCTCCAAGGAATCTACTCAGCAAATCCAAGCGTGGCGGCTGCAAATTAGCTAAGCTAGGCTAAAGAAAGGTCCAGTGCAAAACAAATCATCATGTCTGCCTTTTTATTCACAAAAATATAATTAAATAAATAATAGTTTTTAAAAAATGGGAGGCAGCTCTGTTTGTGATTAGTCAGCGTGGCTGGAAGAGCCGCAGTTAAGGTTTTTGTTTTGATTTCAGCACTTGCCGGATAATCATGGAGCGTATTGCAAAATTTGAAGTGGAAAAGGCCGTGGAGAGAACTAAAAATCAGTTTCCACGAGTGCCATCTAAACAGACTTTGAGAGCTTGGGTAATTATCTCAAACATGTAATTATCTTTGCTTGTCTTTATGAGGTTAACCTACCAGTTTTGAAAAAGCCAATTGAAGAGTACCTGACGGCTATTCAACATAGCATACTTTACACACTCAAGAGACCAAATCCAGTTTTCTTCCTCACCCCTTCAGCAATTATAAGGTTATTTCTCCTCTGTCTATTGTCAAGAGTTAGGAGGTAAGAGAGTGGAGAAGGGAGGGAGGGGGTCTTCTGCAGTTCTCCCCCCCTCCACACAAACACTTTTTCTTTTCTACGCATACTATTATCAGCTTTTCTTTTCATTTTGGAAGCACTAATATTGCAGCAAGGGGAGGAGAGGGGTGTAGAGAGCTCAGAAAGCAGAGGTTGTCGGGCAAGCACTTGCCTGGCCGGTTATCAGAGAGGCAGATCCTGCTTTATCTAGTCACAGTGGAAAGCAAAGTAAACAAGAGTTTACAATAGCTGGCCTTTCAGCCCCTTTCATTTACCGCTTTCCCACCAGCGTTCGGCTGAGTGCGAGAATGTGTCTGAAGTTATTGCAGGCCATCTCACTGCTGCAACACATGGCATCGTCGCAGATTTCAGCTCAAGGAAGTGGCACTGTTGCAAAAGGTCAAAAACTGTGTTAAAGAAAACAACCACAGAGGACAGAGGCATCAGACATTCTCAGTCATGGAATAACCTGACTGTCGTTCAGGTGCACCTCTGTGCAGGAGTGTACATGTGGAAATTCAATTAATTTCAATTCAGTTTATTTATATAATGCCAATTCACAACAAAGTTGTCTCAGGGCACTTTACAGGAACATTCACATACATAGAAAAGCCCATTAGTAAAGTTCTCTATCTAAGGAATCCATCAGACAAGTTGAATCGTGGCTTCATTGCAGTCTCCCATCCTGAGCAAGCACAGTGGCAACAGTGGAAAGGAAAAACTCCCTTTTAAAAGGAAGAAACCTCCAGCAGAACCAGGCTCAGGACAAGCAGCCATCTGCTTTGACCGGCTAGGTTTTATATGTGTTGCACCGTATTTTCCGCCGTACACGTCGCACTGCCCTATAAGTCACAAAAGTCCAAATATGTCTATTAAAGTGGAAAAATCCATAAAAAAGTCACATTTATTATGCTTCACCGCTGACGCATCGCATTTGTTACGCGTCACTGGTGACAACCCGGAACTGTGGTCCGGTGTTGTGCCAGAAATCAATTGGCTGCCAAATGGCGGCTGCTGGAGTGACTTTAACAAGAATTTAACAAGATTAACACTTAAAAACAATTATTTGTTTGTTCAAAATTATAGCACTTTGACGGTCAAATCAGCTGCATTTCAAAAGCCGATTCGCAGAAGCGGGCACACGCAAAGAGATGAGTGGCTGTGCATTTCATCGAAATTTAACAAGTTAACCACCTAAAACAATTATTTGTTTGCTCAACTTTATAGTAAAGGTCTGTCTCAGCTGAACTTTTACTTAATAAAAGGACTTTAATGGTCAAATCAGCTGCATTTTGCTGGGACGACGCAGCAAAATGCAACTGATTTGACTGTTGCTCCAAGCGAGATGGATGAAGGTGGCAGGGTATGGCAAGCCGATTGTGTCATTAATAGCCACTTTTACCTATTACAAGACACAACGGCATGCCAAACTACTCGCGTGCCATCTAGCGGCTGAAAATGGTAGTGTTCAATATTTTCAGTCAGAATGAATGAAAACGGTCAAACCTTAGCCAAAAACTGGTTTATAAATGTGGGGAAAAAAAAAAAAAACGTTGATTCAGTGTATAAGTGGCAGGGCATGCAAATTATGCAAAAAAAAAAAACGTGACTTGTACAGCGAAAAATATGGTATGTGTGTGTGTGTGTGTGTGGGGGGGGGGGGGTGTTATTTAGATATTTATGTTTGTGCTGTTAAGTATGCACATGCAATTATTTCTGCATGCTTGCTGGCACTGAGTGAGAAATAAATATCCATAACATCGCGAAAGATTTCTCTGAGTGAAAAAGGGAAGGCAAAGTGTGTGTGTGGTGGTGGTGGTGGTGGTGGGGGGGCGGGGGGCGTGCAAAGCACAACAACCTGAACCATTTTCTTTATTACTGTGAGTGAACTGGCAAGGCAACGTTTCTTGCATGAGCGCCTGTAAGATACGGGGCCTGGCACAGCGAGAAAGGGAAGCCCGTTCTTGCATCTTAGACGGGGCACAAAGAGAATGCATGGGATTGGAATGCCTCACCGATCATAGCAGAATCAGAATTTCCAGCAAGGAAAATCTTTTCACGGCGAATCAGGCTGATGTAGAAAGAGTTGGGAGGGGAAGAAAAGGTGATAAAATAAGAAGGGAAGAAAGAACGGAAGGAAGGTATGTGTGGCTCAAAAACAGTGTTTCTTTGACTTAGAAGATTTAAGAACTTTAGAATGTGGAAAATTGAATTTACTGAACAATTAAGCGTCAAATTAATCTTTATCCTGCACAAGATGACATGCGAGAGAAGAGAAACGGTTCAAACGAGGGGAGAGAGAGCAACAGGGAGAGACTATATGGTGGCTCATTAAGGGAACCAGGAAGGACACGGCTCTTTCTCTCAGCTTTCATTTTATGCATCTATTCCTCCTGTGAATTTACATATTTTGAAGGTGTCTCTACTTTTTGTGTTTTTAAAGTGTTGTTGGCACAGGGTGTGTGTTTTTCTTGCTCTCTGTGTATCTTCTGGTCAAGGTGAGTGCTTTTGATAATAAGCCAGGTGCACATGTATTTGTGTAAGGCAGATAAAAGTATTTGTATCCATGGAAGTGTTTGCACAAGCGAAGTGACCAAGAGCAGCGTATCTGAGTGTGTGTGTGACTGGTGTGTACTTGTGTTATCTCAGCCATGTGTGTATTAATTGCATGTTAGATCAGTGCTGGGCCTGTTCCATCCAAGGGCGGTGTGTGATTATAAATAAACGCCCCGTCCCCGCAGAGATGCCACCAGGCCCTGTCTCAGCCCCGCCCCCTTTCCCATGGGGCCTCAGTGGCCACCTCCCAGCAGGCAATGCGCTCTTTTGTTCAATTACAGCTAATGCAGTAGTTTGCCATTTCCCCCTCCACTTTCTAATTATATTTTCAAATGGAATTTGTTAGAGAATTAGAAGAAAAAGGATAAAAAAATCACATCCTTTATTTCAAGCGGAGGCTCTTGAGTTTTTCACTGCTTGCTGCTTAACGTCCCCGGGGATCCTGTATGCAATTCTGTTCCACAGATCTCTGAATAAATAAGTTCTGCTCATTTTTTAAACGCTTCACTTTTTTTTTTTTCCCCCAAAAGAACTGGCAAAATCTGTATTTAACTGTTTGTGTTTTGAGCATATGTTCTGGATTACCTCACATCTGATGTTCTCTGGAGTCGGTCATGCATGGGTGTTTCATTTTTATTTTTTTTTTCATCTTCTATGGTCGGCAAAAAAAAAAAAAAAAAATCTGAGAGTTTGAAAATAAAAACCAATCATCTTGGTATTTTATCCCCGTTAAAATCAACATTTATCTACCCGATCAAAATTTCAGTCATGCTTTTGTGTGGTGACTTTTTTTTTTGTTGCAAAGCCTAATTTAGAAAATGATTACATCGTCCTGTAAACACTGGATTATAATTTCATAGCCACGGAACATTAAACGAGCATGAATACACTCCAAATGTGTTAAAATTTGCTGACTCGTATTTCTTTCTGTTCTTCTGCTCCATCTTTATTTAGTTTTAAACAAATTCTGTGTCATGAAATAATGTCTGCTTCTCTGTATGAAGTTAAACTCTTTTCACAGCAGCAGCAGCAGCAGTGCCAACTGTAGGATCCCAATTGAAACCAGTTGTTCCCCACAGTCTTTTTCTCCTCTCCTTTTTCTCCTCCTCCATGTGGGTTTCTATCACTCATTTCGTCACAAAGCCCTAAAAGCGAGATGCGAGCACCACATTGCCCCCTTGATATCTGCTTCATTTGATTTTCACAGAGCAAAGATAGGCTAACGCACGTGTGTGGACGAGGCTCGATAAGTGTTTGTGCTACGTGTGTTTTGTTTGTTTGTGAAATTGAGTTGTATCTAAGACATTTGATTCTATTTCCTCTTATTCTGAGGTCTCTTTTCTCCTGTCTTGAGCACTAATGCTGCTTCGCAAAGCACTGGGAGACATCTGGTGTGGTTTCAGTTAGTTGCTTTGTATGGGGCAGAGTTTTCTGTATTTCTCTGTCATTTATGCATTTGTTTGTTTGTAGGCATCATTTGATTCATCTCTAACTGTGTGATCTGTTGTCTGCCTTCCTGTCTCTTTACACTGTTTGTGGTGTGTGGTTATTATGTTTTCAATCCTCTATGGGCCATTTGCTAACCACTGTCCAGTGAGCAGCTGACACTCATCTGACCTTAGACACAACTTACTATATATATATACACTCGAATGTCCTGAGTCTGTCTCATCAGCTAAAACAGATTGGATTCAGTCCAGGTTTTTCCTGAAGTTACCTTAAATTCTTTTATTTGTTTTCACTCAGCCTCAGTTGGATTGGTCACGCAGTATTTTGTTTCACTTTGTTTGACTGTGGGAAAACATTTGCTTATTTGATTATGTCTCTGTTCTGTTGCCCAAAATGAAATTTCATTTTACATTACAGGTCATTTATGTTTATTTTCTCCTTTTTTGCTACATTGTTAGACAAAAACACAGGATTTACACTGATGTGGCAATCCTTGACTTATTTACCTCCCGCTCCCTCTGCCTGGATGACATCACTCCCTGGCGCTTGCTGTACCCTATCTTAAGTTGTAGCTGTTTCGTATTTTCATCTGCTAGTGGTTTGAGCCAAATGGAGGCAGCCGCGGATTGCATGCTTCAGAAAGCTGGAAACCAAAGCAACATGTTTGCTTTTTATTCGCCTCTTCATAAAGTCCTAATAATCTGCATTCCATAAAACCTTCCTTACTGCATGACAGGCCTAAGAGTTGGCAAGGATGATTTCATTTTAAATGTCATTTTGTGTATTTTTATGTCTCTTGTAAAATGAGGTACAAAAAATAGGACAGTTGAAAACATTTACATATTGACTGTTCTGTCTCTCCTCTCGACAGACGTCCTGGAACAGAGATCACGATGACACGGCGTCCACGCGCTCGGGAGGAACACCGGGACCTTCCAGCGGCGGGCACACGTCACACAGCGGAGACAACAGCAGCGAACAGGGTAAGAGTTAATGCAGCAGAAGAGTATAACAAGAGCACAACCATGATGAGAGTCCACTTGATTAGAATAATTTGCCAAGCAGACAGCAGGAAAGTTTCTTAGATGTCATTTAATTTAATGGAAAATTTGTTTTTGCTTGAAATAATTTGCAACAAATTATTGCCTTTAGTTTGAGACATACTTTTACAGACTTGAAGCAAAATAGGAACCATAAAAATACAAATGTGTTTTTTTTTATGTGAAAGATTGTGCAATCAAGAGCTGAATTGTCTGGCGTGAGTGGATGCACTGATTTGACGCAGTTTCAATGCGTTGTGAGAATATTTGTGTGAGCAGCCGCAGGAGAACATAGTCACGTTGTGGTTGCAAACAAACAACAGAAAAGTAACTCTACGTTGTGTTTTATTGAGGGCAGTGTCAAGTTGAGCAGTTTGTAGGGTTGCCAGTGGCAGCAGGTAGAACCTGAACGCTGCCAGGCCTTCCAGTTTGAAAAGTGAACACACACATTGTGTTGGATCTTACTGAGCCTTTCTGTGTGTTTTACCTCACGTATGGTACTTTTTCTCTTTCATTGTCACTCCTCAGTAATGGTCAGCACTGAAGACGTAGACATTAGTTTGAAACAAAAACTGAAATGTGAAAAAAGAAAGCCGACCGATGAAAGAGCTCTGAAATTACAGTGAAACGGGGCAAAGATGGAGACAAAGAGATATTGTGTAAGCGTGTGCGCCCTTCTATACCTTTGATGAGTAATAGTCTGGAGCAGCCAGCCAAAATCTGATTGGTTGCTCTAATGAGCGTGCTCTGTACCGAGTTTGGGCTCCTGCCTCTGTGACCTTTGCCCCTTATTGACCAAACTGACACTTCATTTTTCACATCTTTCCAATTATAGACTCGCTCCTTATGCTTGCCCCACTCCAATGACTCTAGCTCATCATCTCTCTGTCACCTCAAATCTCTGTTTCCCAACTCTGTCCGACTGTAGAAGGTTTCTGTTCGCTGTAGAGCCCACCAGAGGGTAAAAGTGAGGTAGAGTGCAGATAAATGTGTGCTCGTTGGCGTTTGGAAATTAGTGGCTTTAAAACACAATGCACTTTGTTGTGCTGTGTTTCTGCAGGAATTAAAAGTTGTTGGCAAACTATAGCTAAAGTTGAGTCAAGGCGAAAAAACATTGGAGAAAACATTCAGATTTTAAAAATTCATGCACTGCTGGGATTATAAAGGTCATAAAACTTGTGGTGACATTAAAATGATCATATCTTCTAATAAAGGCTTTATTCTTGTTTCAGGTAGAGTTCCAATAACCTGGAAATGTATTTTTAAATAATACTAAATTTTGTACTTTTATACTCGGAGCCTTAAAACCTAAAAGTGGAATTTGGCTATTGAATTTGTGCTGTTAAAATGTTAATCAAAACACAATCGTACAATTGTTCAAGTCAAAGCACTTTGGGTGAAGAAAAGGAGTTCGTGGTGCTCAGTGTTTGTCCGTCTGCATTTTCCGACCAGCGTTAGAGCTTTTCATTTTAAAGCTTGCACATGAACACAAAGAGCTTCAGACTGCGGTGACAACAGGACCGCAGGACATGTTGGACTGTGTTCAGGTTTATATGGGCTAAGAGCTATCTCTGCCACGTCACTTTGGCTCGGGTAAATTCTGTGTCATTCACTGGTAATCCCAGTAAGCTGGTTATTTATCTGTTTGGCACTTGGCTCTCTCTCTCTCTCCCTGACAGCTTCACCTCTTCCCCCTCTCTTGCACACTTTCATCTTCACGTCCTCCTCTTGCAGTTTTCCCTCGTCTCCCACCTACTCTTCAGTCTCTCTTTCAGTTTAATGTCAGCTGGTTTTCTCTCTCCTCATGCATCCCTCCCCTTTTGGGGGGGCTTCCATGCCTCCCACTCACTCTCAAACACCACGTTTTGTATTTCCTTCTTCTTTCTCTGTCTTTCACCTCTTTGTTTCTTATGCACTCTCTTTCATCCCCATTATGTTTTTCTCAGATTTGTTACATCTTTCTCACTCTTTAAGTTTGCAGATTTATATGGTTTTATTTTTTGCTTTCTTGCCTACTTTTATTTAATACTTCCTCATTATTAAAGTTTTGTTTGCCCCCCCCCCCCCCCCCCCCCACACACACACACACACACATTTCAACACTGATCTTATTTTGTTTTTGCTGATCTTCTTATTTTATGTACCTTCTTTACTTTCTCTGTTGCTTCTTAAATTTTACCCATTCTTTTTATTCTATTTACCATCGTGGACAGCCTTAATGAGTCCTCAGGCCTGAAATATCATAAATACAAAACAAAGGCTGCAAAAACAAGATTTATTAACAATTCCAAATAAAAGTAGTCAGCAAAACAAAAAAAAGACACTGGACATATACAGTGAAGGCCACTAATGAAATAAAGTTAGGATACTTTGCAACTAAATTGTGATAAAATAATTGCACATTATTTGTAGGAGTGCGGAAAGAATGAAGCCGTTTATTCTTTGTTTTATACATATATGTCATAAGTAAAATTTTAATTTAATTTCAATTGAAAATGTTCTATTTTTTCTTGCAATTTTGTGTTTTTAACTTGTTGCAAACAGTTGTAGACCAGTTAGGGGCTTAAAGCTTTAATAGGACACATATTTTATATATTTTTATTTTATTATGTATTTCACAACTTGCATTTTGTTCACTCTCTGTTTGGTTTTTCTATTCAGGCAGTAACGTATTTGACAAGTTTGAACGGTAAAAATTAGGTACGGTTCATTTACACCACTTCACAACAGAAGTCATTTCTGGGTTCTGTTCAATAAAGTAAAGCAAAAAATAGCAAACAATAAATAAAATAATAAACAAAAAATTTAAAGAGAAACAACAAAGTGATACATATATCAGAAGGTTTGGATTGGGGTCAGAGGTCACAGAATCAAAATGTTTCAGCGTTTAAAAATGTCAGCGTTCTCATGTGGCCCTGAAGAACAGTTCACTCCTGGGTGCCAACAATAATTCACCTTTAAAAACAAGAAACGTTCTAATCAACATTAGCTGTGATGTTGAGGGCAAGATTTCTGTCACTTTTTTGTCCTTCAGCGTAAAAAGTTGTGATATTTTCTAACATTTCTAATTTTGTCTTTCTTTCTTTTATCTTTTCATTGCTCTTTTTCTGCGAGTCTCCTTCTCTCCTCCAACTTCTAATCTGTTTCTGATTTCTTCCCCCTTGTCTGCTTATCATCTACTGTTCGTTCTTCTCTCCTCCAGCTGTCCCCTTCCAGCAAGAGCAAAGCTCAGAGGAAGGATGCTGGACAGAAGAAAACCTTTAAGAACTGGCCTTTCTTTTTCTCTTCTTTTCTTCTTTCCTACTTTCTTCTGGGGCTGTCACAGAGAAGACCACATGCTCTGCTCTTTTGTCTTAACGGGTCACTGGCCGGCGGTTTACAAAAGTCTCTGTTTTTCACATGGAGGTGCATCCTCAATTCAAAACAAAGGAGGCATCGTGAGAAATATTTATTGAAATATGTCATTTAACAAGAAGACAGATGATGAAAAGTGTTCAACTGGCAGATGTTTTGCAGAGATTTGTCAGTGTCAAAAAGGCAATGTGAAAAACAATCTGCCTTTTATTTTTACATATGGTGACAATTGTCACATGCTGCATCCTCACTTATGGTGTTTATGCTTTGACCACAATGCCCATGGTGTATTTTAGCACTAAATTCCATTGGCAGAAACTGAAAAAAATTGTGGGAGGATCACATTTGTTTCACACATGTCATTAAAATCAGTTCTGGGTGTCTCCTTTCTCCCTAAAGAGCATACAAAGAAGAAAGCCTCTTATTTTTTCTATTTTTCTCCTCCCTTTCTTCGAGAGATCTTTGTAAACATCAAGCAAGAAAAAAGTCACAGAGCAACTGTAGTTAATTAGCCCCTCTCTATTACTGTGTGTTAACTAGTGGCTACCAACAGCCTGCTTTGTTTAATACCCATAAGCACTGGAGAAGCTCGTCTGCAGCCTTGGATCATGCTCTTTTGAAAAAAAAAAAAAAAAAAAAAAAATATATATATATATCAAGTAATGTTTGAAGGGTAAAGGAAAAGCTAAAGGATCATATGCGCCTGTGATGGTGGGGAGTCCCTCATGTACTCTTTTTCTTTCTCGCAGTATAAAGTGCTCCTCTTTGCCTGTGTGAATTTGTAAGGACACCCGTCGGCTTCTCCGAGGGGCTGGCGTGCGAAGGAAACAGAAAAAACATTCAGGCACTGAACTGGTCAGCTGCAGCGATGTGGATGCGAGCTGAGAGAAAGGAGCAGAGTGTCTGCTCTGTTTTTGAAAGCTGTGCGGTTCCTCTTCGCTGGTCAGTCGTCCTGGGAGCGAGGCGATGACTGCTGATATTAGATATGTATCACCAATTACCCTGACTGTAAAGAGAACAGCGTGCCGAGCCAAAACAAATGGCTCCCTGTAAGGCTGAGTGTTACTGTTTGCCTAAATTGCTGGCCTCAGATTCTTGATTGTTGTGTGATATCCACCTCTGAGATTTGTGATTTAGTTTAGGCCTTTTGGACAATTAAATGTGCTGATTTATATGTGGTCCACCTAATTGTTACAAAGGTATAAAGTGAAAAATACTCTAATAATTTTCTTTTATTTGCATGGAATTGTTATGTATTGTGCACCAGTATTGTTTGTAAATTGCCAGAAATAAGGTTTATGAATCCAACAAAGTTCAGTCAGGTCGTCTGGACAGTTTCTTTATGCTGAAATGTTTCGTCTTTCATCCAAAAGACTTCATCAGTCGTCCGAGCAGCCACAACAAACTCAGTCTTAAAAGCACCTTCATAGTGGGCCGACCAGTTTGATGGTGCTCAGGTGGTTTCCGGAGTCCCCCCTCTCCCCCGCCAACTCGTCTGAGGCAGCCATGGCCAAAGTGGTTCAAAACATCAAAGTTCATGCTCAGTAATCCAGGTGGAAAATCCAACAAAGTTCATTCAGTTCATATGG